GCAGCCATGCTCCGCCGGTCGCTCTGGCTCTGCCTTTGCCTCTGCTCCTGCCCGGCCCGCGGTGAGTGCGAGCGGCCCGCCGGCCCCGGCACCCCGGACCGGCTGCCCTTCCCCTCGGGGCACCCCGCTCCGGGTGCATTTCCCCCCCTGCACCTTAATCCGGGTGCACTTTCCCTCAGTGCACCCCAGTTCCATTGCATTTCCCCTCCTGCACCCCGCTCCGGACGCGTTTCCCCTCGGAGCATTACGGTCCGGCTTCATTTCCCCTCAGTGCACCCCGGCCCCATTGCATTTCCCCTCCGTGCACTCTGATCCGGGAGCATTTCTCATCCTGCATCCCAACAGGGGTGTATTTCCCCTCCATGCACCCCAGCCCCATTTCATTTCCCCTCCTGCACCCCAATCCCGTTGCATTTCCCATCACTGCACCCCAGTTCCAGTGCATTTCCCCTCCTGCACCCCAATCCGGTTGCCTTTCTCCTTGGTGCATCACGATCCAGGCGCATTTCCCTCAACGCACCCGACCTAGTTGCATTTCTCCATCCAGTTCTTCATTCTGGGTGCGTTTCCCCTCCTGCACCCCAATCTGGGTGCATTTCCCTTCCATGCACCCCAACCCCATTACATTTCCCCTCCTGCACCCCATCCCAGCTGCATTTCTTCTCAGGCTGCCTCAGTCCAAGCGCATTTCCCCTCCGTGCACCCCGATCTTGGTGCACGTCACCCCTTTTCCCCCGTGGTCCAGCTGCATTTTCCCCTTCCCCTCATGCACCCCAGACTGAATCCAGCATTTTAGGTCCTCAGCCCCAGGGACTGGCGTTGTCAAAGGGTAACGTTCCCTTCAGCGTGGCACAGTGCAAGAGCGGTAGCTGGGTATTTTCCCTTTTTTCAGGAATGTTCCTTTTTCTTTTCTCTGCCTCTTGCCTCTCTCCGCGCGCACCCAGGTTTACGCATCCATGAATACTTGTATTTCCAAGTGCTGAGCCCTGGAGACATTCGCTACATCTTCACCGCCACTCCGGCCAAGGATTTTGGTGGCGTGTTTGTAAGTATTAACTGAATTTGTCAGTTTAGATCACCCCATCCTAATATTTCTCCATTGTAGGGCCTCGTGATTTGAAGCTTTTTATAAAAACTGAGCTAATTACTCTTTCTGTGAGCCTGCCCTTAGGAAGGCGGCACACGCTGGTCCCTACCTTTGGCCTCAGCAGGGGTTGGAATGAGGCAACCTGCATCTCCCAAGTCCTAAATCTCCCCAAAATCACCCCTGGGCACAGGGGTGAGCAGGGCATGGGACACTGGGGATGGCTGCGGTGGGGCGGGGGGCAAGAAGCAGCCCCAAACCCCCCTCGTTCACCCCTGCCTGTCTCCTTCTCGGAGAACACAAGGTACGAGCAGATCCACCTGGTCCCAGCGGATCCCCCCGAAGCCTGCGGAGAGCTCAATAATGGCGTCTTCATCCAGGACCAGATTGCCTTGGTGGAGAGGGGGTATGTCTGGCAGCATGGGAGCTGGGGGGGGGACCCTGGGGCAGGAAGGGAGCAGAGGGTGACAGTGCCATCGCTATGTTTTACCATCACCTCCAGCTTCTTCCCGTGACTTACCCCAGGTGGATATACAGGGAAAACGGGAGGGTGCTCCTACCCCAGAGCGTTTCATGATGCGTCTCTTAGAAAACAGCCTGTGCTAAGGTTGAAAAGCTGTTTTTAGTTCATTTTATCTTTGTTGGTGACATGGACAGTGGGATCAAGGGCACCCTCCACACGTTTGCCAACACCACTAAGCTGTGTGGTGTGGTCGATGCACTGGAGGGAAGGGATCCATCCAGACAGGACTAGACAGGCTGGAGAGGTGGGATGTGCAAACCTCATGGTGTTCAACGAGGCCAAGTGCAAGGTCCTGCCCATGGGTCAGGCAATCCCAGGCACAAATCCAGACTGGGCGAGGAGTTGATTGAGAGCAGGCCCAAGGAGAAGGACTTGGGGGTGTTGGTGGATGGAAAACTGACTGTGAGCCAGCAACATGCACTCACAGCCCAGAAAGGCACCCATGTCCTGGGCTGCACCCAGAGCAGGGTGGGCACAGGGCGAGGGGGGGATTCTCCCCCTCTGCTCCGCTCTGGGAGACCCCCCTGCAGGGCTGGGTCCAGCTCTGGGGCACCAACAGCAGAAGGACACGGACCTGCTGGAGCGGGGCCAGAGGAGGCCACGGAGATGCTGGGGGGCTGGAGCCCCCCTGTGAGGACAGGCTGAGAGAGTTGGGGGGTTCAGCTGGAGAAGAGAAGGCTCCGGGGAGACCTTAGAGCGGCCCCCCAGGGCTGAAAGGGGCTGCAGGAACGGGGGGAGGGACTCGTCATCAGGGGGAGGGATAGGACGAGGGGGAACGGGGTTAAACTGACAGAGGGGAGATTTAGATCAGATCTAAGGCAGAAATTGTTCCCTGTGAGGGGGGTGAGGCCCTGGCACAGGCTGCCCAGAGAAGCTGTGGCTGCCCCCTCCCTGGAAGGGTTCAAGGCCAGGTTGGATTAGGCTTTGGGCAACCTGGGCTAGTGGGAGGTGGCCCTGCCCGGGGCAGGGGGGTGGGACTGGATGATCTTTAAATCCCCTTCCAACCCAAACCACTCCATGATTTTATGATTTTTTTTCTTAGGAGAAAATGGCCGAGTGTGGGCAGCTTGTGTCTAAATCACAGACTCCCAAGAGGAGCAGGGTTTGAGGGAGGCGCAGGGCCAGGGATGGTCCTTGATTTGGGCATATCTAGGCGAGTTCTGACACTAAGATTTTGTACCTGCTAAGGATCCGCCGGTGGCCACCAAAGATTTGTCTTTCTCTGCCCCAGGGGTTGCTCATTCCTGTCAAAGACGCGTGTGATCCAGGAGCACGGCGGACGGGCGGTGATCATCGCAGACAACGCCTACGATAACGACAGCTTCTACATCGAGATGATCCAGGACAGCACCAGGCGGACAGCCGACATCCCCGCGCTCTTCCTGCTGGGCAGGGACGGGTAGGTGCCTTGCTCAGGAGACATTTCATCTTCCCAAATACAGAACATCTCATGGGCTGATCTGATGAGCCAGATTTTTAGTGGATTTAGTCATAATTAATCCGCAGAGTTTCTGTTTGAGCCAGTTTGTGCTTTACGCTCACGTCTGGGATCCACAGTCCCACCTCAGGCAGCTCACGTGTGCCTGTCACTTCTTTATCCTTCCAGATACATGATCAGACGCTCCCTGGAGCAGCATGGGCTCCCCTGGGCCGTCATCTCCATCCCTGTCAACGTCACCAGCATCCCCACCTACGAAATGATGCAGCCCCCCTGGACCTTCTGGTAGCAGCAGGAGGCTGCAGCAGATCGAGGACTTCTCGGTGGATCCCAGGAGCTTGCCCCCAGGCCCCAGGTTTGAGGAAAAGATCCCACCACGCTCCAGAGATTCCACTGCCCAGCCTCGCCGGATCCAGCAACCAGGAAACCTTTGTGCTGCCACCAGAACGTGGCTGAAGGGCAACCACCAGCCCCCGTGGTGGCAACCTTGAACCTGGCACCCAGCACCCTTTGCAGTGACTTTGTGGGAGGGAGGAGATGGCCCAGAACAGGCCAGTACTTCCCCAAGTAACGTTTTAACGATACGTAAGATGCCACCAGTAATTTGTGCTGCTGATGTAGAGGGATGCAGGGTTACAGCCAGAGAGGGATGGGAGGGAGAGAGATACAGGCTTGGTCTGTACTAGCAGGGCTCGCCCAGCATCTGTATATTTTTGTCTGAGCTAATGAAGTGTGAACAAGTTTTAGAGAAAGGGAAGTTTCTTTTTTTTTTTTTTTTTTTTTTAATTGGCATGGGGATGAGGTGACAAATCTCATCCCTTGGTGTTTTTCTTAGTAAACGTCTCCAAGGTACCTCCTGCAGCTGGACTGCCAGACCCCTGTGCAGCACGGGGCTGTCACACACCGGGGCAGCAATGGCCTTGGGGATCCAGCCCCAGGGCTGAACTGGCTGCAGATCCAGAGCCCAGATCTCAGCGGGTCTCCTGTCCCTCACCCCCAGCCCTCCGTGTCCCCACTGGGACCAGACCCTGGGTCGCAGCCCTCATCTCTGTCCCTCACCCCCAGCCCTCCGTGTCCCAACTGGGACCAGACCCTGGATCGCAGCCCACGTCTCTGTCCCTCACCCCCAGCCCTCCGTGTCCCCACTGGGAACAGCCCCTGGGTCGCAGCCCTCATCTCTGCACTCGCCCCTCGCCTCCAGTTTATGGGTACAAACGATACAGCCGTGTCACCAGTCTTGGTTTATTACGAACACTGAAGGGGCTGTGGCCCTGGGACAGCTGGGGACAAGCAGCAGAGTGCAGGGCTGGAGGTGATGGTAGTGTCACAAGTGCCCATTTACAGCGTCACCCGCAGTCCCACAGTCCAGCTGTCACAGGCTCGAAGGATGCAGCGGCAGGAAAACACCTCCCCAAAATCCAAAAAGGGGAGGAAAATACCCGGGGCGCGTCCCCAACCTGCTGCCTGTTGGTCGCTTGGAGCCATCTTCTCCCTCCAGGCGTGTGGTGAGCAGAGCGGGACAGCGCAGAGAGCGTGGGACGGGTGACAACGCTCGGCTGCGGTGACATCTCAGTGCAGGGAAGCACCCAGCACCACGCTGCGGCCCTGGGCACAACCACGGCAGCTCCCGCTCGGGCACATCCTCCTCCAGAAGCAGCGGGATGGGCCCGGCGGGACAACTCGCTCTCTGCAAAACCCAAAACAAATTTTTGGGTTTTGGATGGTGACTTTGCTTAACGCCGACGCCACAGCCCATGGGGGCGCTGGGCTAGCAGCAACCTCAGTGGTTTCCCCTCCCACAGAAAAGCCTGGCAATTGCTGCGTGGGGCTTGGCATCGTGTAAAGGAGGGGGCCGAGGCAGGAGGGAGGCGCCTGCCAGGCTCGGCTCCACTTTTTGGGCATCTGAGCTACCCGCAAGGTGTCTCGGTCCCACCTGCAAAATCTTTTTGCCCCTTGCTGCTGGCCGAGCTAAGGCATGGAATGGAGAATATATACGGACCCCAGCTCCTTAGGGTGTGGATAGTGCTAATATAGACATTAAATAGTACCCCTCGTGCACAAACACACGGACACGCACACGGGTTCCCCTCGTCCCTGCGGGGTAGGGAAGGACACGCTCCTCCGCACCCGCGGCCAGCACAGACAGTGCGGAGCAGCCTCGGGGGTGACAACGAGGTGACCCGTCAGCACATCCCAGGGGCTGGCTGGACCCTGCTCCCCTCCAGCCTCCCCTGCAAGCCCCAGCCAGCCCGATGGGGACGGAGACGCAGCTGGAGGGGGGTCAGCGGTGCCCAGGGAGGACGGGGACAGCCTCACACACACACACACACACACACACACACATACACACACACACAGAGCACACTACAAGGCCAGGCAGGAGCAGGGCCTGCCTCCGGCTCCCCCGCTGCCCCTCTCCGCACCCCGCCACCGGCATGTGGCCTCCCACCCGACCCCCAGCACAACCCTGTTTTTAATATTTAAAGCTGCTGCCTCTCGGAGGATTTCCCCTCCCCCCAAACCACCCGTCCTGTGTCCTGTGTCCCTTCCCTCTCCTCTCGTCCGGGGCCAGGATCAAACGTCAGTCATCTCGTCCTCCAGCTCAGCATCGTCCGTCTCCCCTTCGCCCTCCTCCTCTTCATCCGACGTCACATCGGCATCGTCAGCTTGCGCTAGGCACTTGGGACACGAGCAGGTAAACAAGTAGTTCTCCCTGGAAGAAAGGAAGGAGAATAGTGATGGTGTTGACAAAGGGACAACCCCAACACTGCTGTTGGGCAGGGGACAGGGACGGAGCAGCCAGGAAGGGGCTGAATACGTTAAATCCGGAGGAATTTGTGGGTTCAGTCATGCTGGGGTGGGGGTAGTTTGGGTGGAGAGGGGGATTTCAGCCCTGATGGGGACGGTGACCTTCAGCAGGAGTCCCTGCTCTTGAAGGGCAGAGGAAAAAAAAAAGGTGGGTGAGGACAGCAAGGGCTGGCAGGAGCCAACTACAGAGTGGGGCGAGCCTGCAGAGAGAGGGGGAGCCCCAAATCCTCAGTCCCCGAGGCCACAACACGTAAGAAGGGACTGTGAGGAGCTCGCAGCACCCAGAGCACTGCTCGCTGCATGCATAGCTGTGACCATCTCTTGAAACCACAGTTCATGTCTCAACCATCCGGTAAAAAAAAATTGTCAAAGGAAACTGTTTCCGTGGCAAGGTCGGGCTGTGCAAGTAATGGCAGGGGGACACGGCGAGAGGAGGGGGTCCTACAGAGGTGGGACCAGGCTTTTTGGAGGCTGAACTTCCCTGTCTTGAGCGACTCTGCAAAGAGCCAACAGGGAAGCTGTTTTCATGGAAGGTCAGACAACGGTCACGCCTTCAGGGAGTGGGGAGTAACTCCCCAAGGACCCCCGTGCCCACCGACTCATTTACAGAAGAATATGAAGGTACAAACTGCACCAAGTACCAACAGCAAGAATTCTAGAAGCATGAACTGCACGTGATGCCTAATTAGCCTAACGAGTCCAAGTGCTCATCACAAGGAGGGGCAAGGAATTATAAAAGGACACGAGTCAAAGCCCCGGGTGACTGCACCCCACCAGAACTGGACCCCTGGGCTGGCTGGACCAACACTAGAAACAGGACTGGTGCAATCTTCCTTTTTGTCTTTCTCTCTCTTCTCCTCTTTCCCCTTTTCTCTCCCATTCTTATTCTACATGCCTGCATATAAGGCAAGGCTTGTTGGGGCACATTTAAGGCTTAGTGGGGTATTAGATCTGCCACTAGTCAGTGTTAAGTTTAATGCCTGTTGCAGAACATGCAAAGTTTACTGACAAAGTTTCATGCCAATGATCTGTCGTGAGTGAATAAAGATTGAAGTTGTGTGAACTGAAGAATCCGTGGTGTCGTTTCAACTTCATCCTGACCTGGAAATCGATGAATCCGAGTCACTGTCCCAAGAAATTGGGATGTGACAATACCCTGCCACAAAACACCGAGAGCACCACACGCCACGCACCAGGGCACACACAGGGCCCCGAAGTGGGGACACAGCCCAGAGCAACCAGCTGGGGGTGCAAAGGGGTGTCCCCCCACTCCCCAGGTTCCTCCAAGCAGCCCCTACCTGAGTATCTTGTTGCGGCTGTGTCTGCTCCGCTCCCTCTGACAGCAGTCTAAATAACTGATGCAGATTTCCTGCAAGCAAAAAGAAACAGGTCGGGCTGAGAATTGCTTCCCATGAACCCAAAGCAGCGTGATTTTGCACCAGGACCTCTCAGAGTCAGGCAGAACCTTGGGGTCTGGCAGCCCCAATGTGAGATGAGGTGTGAATTCCTCTGCCAGGACAACGCAAGAGACAGGAGGTATGGGGCAGGGGTCTGGGGGAGATGTGGGGGACACAGGGACCCTCTGCTGAAGGAAAGATGCTACAAGTGTACTCAAAATTACAAGATCACCTTACATTCCTAATGTACAGGGACCTGTAAAATAGAACATCTGGTTTTAAAGTTAACCATCACTTGTGTTTTCCTAGCTTTTATTTTTCCCGTATTTTACTGCAATGTATATAATTTCATTTATACTCTTTTCCTAACTCTCCTCTGTAGTCGTTACCCACTTGTAAGATGTTTTGAAACCTGTAACTCCGTGCCTAGTGGAGATAAGACAGGCCTTATACAGTCTGAAAAACTCCCCGAGTACATCCCTAATAGCAGGAACCTAAAAAACAAGTGTCTAAGATGCCAGTGTCAAGATAAGCAACTGGAAGCTGGTCTAAACTAACCCCCTTGGAACAAACACGAGCTGAAGGATGGATGAGGTCACTCTATGACCAGATGTGGACACACGAAACCTAAAGTTCAACTAGCTGACAGTGTGAGGAAGACTATGTGGACCACTAAGGAGGGGAGTAGACCCTCACTCTATTTTTACTATGTGTGCTCAGACTATGTAAATGAATCCTGAGAATCCATTAGCATAAGACGGCCTTTTCCAGGAAATCTGATGAATATGTATGGTTTTTCTGTGCATTAGTCAGAGTGTTTTGTTAGTAAGTGCAGCACTCGTGGTGGAGCGATCCCCAGCACTGCTAATACAAAATACCTGCTCGACAGTTATACTCAATTCTGACCACTGAGTGAACCTCCTGGTTTCACTGCCAAGGTGTGATGTCACCCCGGGATCGTGTGGGCCCCGCTGTCTCACCTCTCCTGCTTCGATGTCCTCCAGAGCCGTCAGGTGCAGGAGGAAGTTGTTTTCCGGGAAGGATGTCTCGGCGTTGGGGATGCAGCTGTGGTTACCTATGGGGAAGAGGGGATGCAGCCATGAGGGTGTCTCTGGAGGAGGGGGAAGGCAGAGGCAGGGTCGAACACCCTACACACCCCGTGAGGGCTTGTGCCTGCCCATCTGCGCAGCCCGGGCACGCGGGGAACCAGTGTCACCAACTGGGAGGGCCACGGCCTGGCCAAGTATAAGGCAGCACAATGCTGTGGCCACCCCATCCACCTCAGGGCCACCAGCATGCCACTCTCGGCTCACACCGGAGATTAGGAGGTTCAGCAGAGCAGAGGGGCAGAGTCAGGGCTCTCTGCCAGACCCACAAAACCCACTTGGAGCGAGCGAGCTGTCCTGATCAACCCCAGGGGTACACAGCACCATCCCTGCCTCCCGGTGCTGAAGGAAGGATGCGCAGGGCTGTGCTTCTCCCTTGCTTCCCAGCCCTCCCAGCAGCCCATCGCCAGGCCCTGCTCAAAAGGTGTGAAAGAAAACAGCTCTGGGTGCTGGGACATCCTCTCCTACATCCCCATGATCCCGCCAAGAAAAGATCTGTCCTTTAAAGGTTTGTTCAGCTCCGTTTTGCTCAGACGAGGTTGGAGATGGTCTCTTTGCTAAACCACACAGGTGGCTCCCAGAGACTACATCACATCCAACCATTCAGGCCAGGACTGGCCACTTCATAACAAGGCAAGACGCCAGGAGACCCCCAAGAGAGCAGCCAAGCCCCAGAGCAGCACCTACCCCACCCCACCCCACCCCATCCCCATCCTACAGATGGGAGGCACAAACCCCTTTCTCCAGAGGCTTTTAGGAAGAGGTGAGTCAGTCTAGCCCAGGACATTCCCCTCCTCACTACTAGTTTTGCTCCCAGTCTTTATGTTACTCACAGCAGCTCTGGAGCACGTAGAGACCCGATCCCTCGCAGTTAAGGAACTCTCCTGACTCTGCAGCAGAGAGAGGGGGTTAGAGCTTTGCATGGGCCATTCTGGCTCTTCCACATGAGCACAAAGGGCCAGCAATGCTGAATGCACCCAGCCAGCTCTGCTTTTGGGTGTTTCCAAAGCACCCTTCCCTCCCCACTGGGAGGGGATGGAGGACATGAAGATTTGCACCCCCAAAGCTCCCTGGTCTGTCCCTGTACTCACACAGCAGCATCAGCGAAAAAAAGGCATTAACAGGTCTTTGAATATTTAGTGTAAATGGGATTTTTCTGCACAGGATCCCTCCAGATCAGCTTTCCAGCCACCCTGACCTGACACAGGTAGTGCTGCCCACAAATTTAGACTTGCCCTGGGCACGCAGTGAGCCAAAATCAGCAGGTGTGGCTTGTACGGACATGGGGAACATTTCCCAGTCCCCAGCGGGAACTTCTCCCAGTCCCTGAATCCTGGGGAGAATCTGAAGCAGCAGAAACTCCACCTGGTCCTGCCTACAGCACTGCCTGAGGCTGCCCACGGCCACATCAGAGCCTCACCCTTCTCGATGTCCTTGTAGAGCTGGTCGATGAAGGCATCCAGCTCCTCCCGCTGCAGCATGGGGAGATCCAGCGCGTCGCAAGCGTGTACCCACTGGCTCAGAGAGCTGCCGGGAAGCAGAAGGAAAGTGTCACAGTTCCACAGGGCCATCGGCACACGGTGGACCTCGTGAGGGGGGATCTAAGGGTTAAACTTGGGAGTTCTGAGTGGCCAAGCTCTGTCAGAGGGATGACAAAGTGTTGGATGAGGCCAGGATGAAGGACTGCTTTTGAGTTTGCCTCTCCATTCCCCTCTTTTACAGAATCACACAGAATCATCAAGGTTGGAAAAGCCCTTGAATAATCTTGGTTGGAAAAGCCCTCGCAGCTCCTCCAGCCCAACCATGACCCTCCCCCTGACCGTTCCCAACTCCCCCAGATCCCTCAGCGCTGGCTCAGCCCGACTCTTCAACCCCTCCAGGGATCCCGGGGACTCCCCCCTGCCCTGGGCAGCCCATTCCAACGCCCAACAGCCCCTTCTGCACAGAAATCCTTCCTCAGAGCCAGCCTGACCCTGCCCTGGGCAGCTTGAGGCCATTCCCTCGGGGCCTGGCGCTGGCTCCTTGGCTCCAGAGACTCATCCCCCCTCTCTGCCCCCTCCTGGCAGGGAGTTGAAGAGGGCCAGGAGGTCTCCCCTCAGCCTCCTCTTCTCCAGACTGAACCCCCCCAGTTCCCTCACGTCTGAACCCAGCCACTACCCAGGCCAGCATAGATTTATGGACGGTATATCCCCTTCGTGCCACATCTCCACTGCCCAGAGCACCCAGAAAGCCCCATTACCTTGTTCCTATGCCTTGGCCATTGGTCCCAACGAGGGCAAAGAGGGATCGAAAGCCTTCTGGAGTGAACCACTGCAGAAGGGAGATGAGAAAGCAGCTGAGCCCAGGTCAGCCTGCGGCAGCACCCCACTCTGCCAGTACCTCAAATCCCACAGGGAGCTCTGGGGGAAGCAACGAACAGGCAGAGTCCCAGGGGAAGCCCTGGCCAAGTGGAGGGTCCTGCCACGCTCCTGGGCTATTTGGGAGGCAGCACAACTCACCCTGCTGAGATGTTCATCGTAAAGGGCTTCGGTGAAGAGCAATCGCAGCAGCTCCAGCTGGCCCTGGCAGGACATGGCAACACCGTCAGAGTGGGGAGACGCCACTGCGCATCAGACCCAGGCTGATGGGCCAGCACAGGCCAGTAGGGTCAGGAGTCAGGCTCCTTGCCCTTCCCTGCAAGGCTGGAGGCTGCTGCCCTCAGAGCAGCAAAAGCCGCTCATTTTAGCAGCAAAACTACCCGCTCAGCATCTAATATCACCCTGTCCCAAGCCACAGCAGAAGCATCTCCACCACAGGCATGTACAGCATGTCCTACTGAAGCACCACAAGCCCAAAGCCCTCTAAGCAACCGACTTTCTCTCTGTCAGGTCAGCCAGCCCCTAATGGGGAGCTCTGGGCCCCCACTTTGAGCCTGGGATTTCCAGTGTCTCCCATCCCAGCTATAACAGGGCCTCTGCACCCACGGGCTCACAGACACAGAGGGACAGGCTCAGGGATTCCACACATCCAAGCGTTGCCAGGCTCTTACCTTAAATTTGTCCCCCAGCAGCTTGTGCACAACCTCCTCCTCTTCATTTGCTGTCTTACTGCAGAACTGGGAGAAGGCCTTGATCCACCACTCCTTGTCTTTAGCCTGACAAAGGAATCAAGCAAAGGCATTGCACCAACACCGCTTTCCTCCCCAGCCAGGAGAGAGGGAAGAGAGGACAAGCCCTGAAGAGCTCAGAGGTATCCGGCCAAGAACCACCTGAAGCAGTTGCACAGTGGTAATTCATTGTCAGAATAAACACTGAGGAAGCCAGGCCAAAGAAAAAAGCCAAAGGAAAAGTTCAGTTCTGAATAATTATTTTGGCATGGAAAAAAAGACCTGCTTGGCTCAGGACACAGGACCCTCCTTTGCTGCCTGCTGTCTCCATGACCAGGCACCACTAGAAGTTGAAATCTATTCAAGCAGGACCCTGCCAGTCGCTGGAGAAGAGATCAGTCCTCAGGAATAACAGTCACAACGCGATGAGGAAAGCACACACTGGCAGCTGTGGCTCTGAACTGCAGACATACCTGTTTGACGGTGGCGACCATCCGGGCCATCAACATGATGCTGGAAGTCTCCGGTGGATAATGCATGTTTCTGGGGGATAAGAATGAAGAAAAAAAGATGAGCAGATCAGTGCTGGTATGGAAATAAAAAGCTGAAGGGAAGCAGAGGCAGCTGCCATCTCTGTGGTTAGGCCTGTGCTCATCTGTCACACCGAAGCCACCAGTGCAGCATCACTGCATGGAGATCCAGGGCGAGGACAAGCCTGCACCCACCTGCCTGCTCTGAGCGCACAAATAATCCCCTGCCATCCTGTTAAACTAGAGCCTGGACCCCATACAAAACCCTGGACTGCAGCGAGAGCTGGGGTTTGTGAAAAGCTTTGGGTCAGGGATGTCACTTCTCGCCTCTGCGCCCATTTTGTCATCTGCAAGCCAGGATGGCAATTTATGTCCCTGCAGGGGTGCTACGAGGAGGATCTCCCAAAGGCTGGAGACCTGCAAGAGCACTATAAAATTGCAAGAGTGAGGATTGCACAGCTCAGTGCCTTGTAGCTCTTTACTGGAGAAAATTAAGAACTGCTCAGCCGTGTGTCCAAACCTTTGTGCTGCCAACACCCAATGCCCAATGAGCAGGTACAGCTGGGCAGTGTCCCACAGCCACCACCACCCTCCAGCCACCCCATGCAGGGATGCGAAGCAAGGCCAGTCCTCAGCCCTGGTCCCAGCAGCATCACCCACCAGCCCAGGAGAGCCACCTCCTCTGCCCATGGAGCCACAGGCAGGTCGGTCGCCTACCTCCATGCCTCCTGCAGCTTGTTGAGGGGGTGCGTGGGGTCGTCACGGGACGGGCCAAGGCAGAGGACCTGGTGGTACTGCTCCAAAGCGGCCTGCCTGCATTCAGCGCTGCAGTACGTCACCTAGAGCGAGGGGCACAGCGCCCGGCATTGGCTATGGCAGCAGGAAAAGGGGGTCCTAGGCCCAGCTGTGCCCCCTCCCTGACCATCTGAGCTCTTTAGCCATCGCAATGCAAAAGGAAAAGGCAGGTGCCCATCTCGGGGCGATGCAAGTGCCTGGGCTAGATGCTGTAAAGGAGTCGGTGACCCCAAAATTCCTCCTAGCACCCCGTACCTGGCACCGGGGACACTGCTGGTGCAGGTCTTTCCGGATGCTGCACTGCTCCGGGTGAGGCAGCACCAGGGAGCTCTTCCCCAGCAGCCGCTGGGCGTTTTCCTCCGCCGTCTCCAAAGCCCGCAGACAATGATCACAGGCTGTGGGGAGACAAGACAGACGGACACCAGTGAGAAAAGGGGCTGGGGCTCACAGCGAGACAGCATGACTGGTACCAACATCATCTCCAAGCTGGAGGCACCAGTCTCTTACCGCTCCCTCCATAGAAAAGACCATTTCTGCTGCAATTTAACCCCCCTCAGCCCTCATCTGCTGCCCTGTAAGGCTGAGAAGCGTTTAAGAGCCACACGATGACAAGCGTCCCCATGTCGCCGACCCGCAACAGAGCTCAGCAGACAGCAGGGTCTAGATAGGTCAAGAAAGTTGAAAAACCTGCTCTTACAACCCTCGTTTTTTGTTCTGGCACCCTTGTGGGCTGTACTCTGCAGTTGTGTGACCGGGATTAGCACCCACACCCCTAAAAAAATCGGGGTTCCCACGCAGATGGTGCCCGATGGCGGCATGTGGTGCTTTCCTCAGGGGCTGATGGAAGCCGCCATCCCTCAAACGACCCCAACGTTTTCAACCTGTCAACACTTCTCCTAGCGCAGAGGCAGAAATGGCAGCAGGGCCACCTTCCCGGCAGCGCTGAGGCAAACCCCAACCCTTTCGTTGAGAACCAGGCAGCTCCTGGGGACCCCGCGGGCCCCTCGCCGGGGCAGGTGACAGGGACGTGCCAGCACCGCCGGCCACTCACCTCGGTAGTTGTACAGCGCGTTCCAGAGGAACTGGGATGACACCACCGGCCTCTCCACGAAGACGGTTTCCCCTTTGCGGATGTTCTTGGTGGCGAACAAGCCTTTCCCCTGCCGAGGGAGAAGCGTGGGTCAGGGGACGGCCCCGAAGCCGAAACCCACCCGTGGGCTGGGGGCACCCCCCCTCCCTGCGCAGCCTGAAGGGAGGCTGCCGGGTTTTTACCCCCTTTTCTCCCCCCAAAATTGCCGCAGAGCGAAGGAAGGGAGGGACCCCCCGCGGGGGAGGGAACCGCCGGGCTCACCTTGGCGCT